TTGGTGAGCTGGGTAAGTTGGTGAGCTGGGTGAGTGAGGGTTGGTGAGCTGGGTGTGTAAGTTGGTGAGCTGGGTGAGTTGGTGAGCTGGGTGAGTGTGGGTTGGTGAGCTGGGTGTGGGTTGGTGAGCTGGGTAAGTTGGTGAGCTGGGTGAGTTGGTGAGCTGGGTGGGTGAGGGTTGGTGAACTGGGTAAGTTGGTGAGCTGGGTGGGTGAGGGTTGGTGAGCTGGGTGTGAGTTGGTGAGCTGGGTGGGTGAGTGAGCAGGGTGAGTGTGAGTTGGTGAGCTGGGTAAGTTGGTGAGCTGGGTGAGTTGGTGAGCTGGGTGGGTGAGGGTTGGTGAGCTGGGTAAGTTGGTGAGCTGGGTGAGTGTGAGTTGGTGAGCTGGGTGAGTGTGAGTTGATGAGCTGGGTAAGTTGGTGAGCTGGGTGAGTTGGTGAGCTGGGTGGGTGAGGGTTGGTGAGCTGGGTAAGTTGGTGAGCTGGATGAGTGTGAGTTGGTGAGCTGGGTGAGTGTGAGTTGGTGAGCTGGGTGAGTGTGAGTTGGTGAGCTGGGTAAGTTGGTGAGCTGGGTAAGTTGGTGAGCTGGGTGTGGGTTGGTGAGCTGGGTAAGTGTGGGTTGGTGAGCCGGGTGAGTAAATTGGTGAGCTGGGTGTGGGTTGGTGAGCTGGGTGAGGGTTGGTGAGCTGGGTGAGGGTTGGTGAGCTGGGTAAATTGGTGAGCTGGGTAAGTTGGTGAGCTGCGTGAGTATGGGTTGGTGAGCTGGGTAAGTTGGTGAGCTGGGTAAGTTGGTGAGCTGGGTGAGTGAGGGTTGGTGAGCTGGGTGTGTAAGTTGGTGAGCTGGGTGAGTTGGTGAGCTGGGTGAGTGTGGGTTGGTGAGCTGGGTGTGGGTTGGTGAGCTGGGTAAGTTGGTGAGCTGGGTGAGTTGGTGAGCTGGGTGGGTGAGGGTTGGTGAGCTGGGTAAGTTGGTGAGCTGGGTGGGTGAGGGTTGGTGAGCTGGGTGGGTGAGGGTTGGTGAGCTGGGTGAGTGTGAGTTGGTGAGCTGGGTGGGTGAGTGAGCAGGGTGAGTGTGAGTTGGTGAGCTGGGTGAGTTGGTGAGCTGGGTGGGTGAGGGTTGGTGAGCTGGGTAAGTTGGTGAGCTGGGTGAGTGTGAGTTGGTGAGCTGGGTGGGTGAGGGTTGGTGAGCTGGGTGAGTGTGAGTTGGTGAGCTGGGTGGGTGAGGGTTGGTGAGCTGGGTAAGTTGGTGAGCTGGGTGAGTGTGAGTTGGTGAGCTGGGTGAGTGTGAGTTGGTGAGCTGGGTGTGAGTTGGTGAGCTGGGTGAGTGTGAGTTGGGTGAGCTGGGTGAGTTGGTGAGCTGGGTGAGTAAGTTGGTGAGCTGGGTGGGTGTGAGTTGGTGAGCTGGGTGAGTGTGAGTTGGTGAGCTGGGTGAGTAAGTTGGTGAGCTGGGTGGGTGAGGGTTGGTGAACTGGGTGAGTGTGAGTTGGTGAGCTGGGTAAGTTGGTGAGCTGGGTCGGTGAGGGTTGGTGAGCTGGGTAAGTTGGTGAGCTGGGTGGGTGTGAGTTGGTGAGCTGGGTGAGTGTGAGTTGGTGAGCTGGGTGGGTGAGGGTTGGTGAGCTGGGTAAGTTGGTGAGCTGGGTGAGTGTGAGTTGGGTGAGTGTGAGTTGGTGAGCTGGGTGGGTGAGTGAGCAGGGTGAGTATGAGTTGGTGAGCTGGGTAAGTTGGTGAGCTGGGTAAGTTGGTGAGCTGGGTGGGTGAGGGTTGGTGAGCTGGGTAAGTTGGTGAGCTGGGTGAGTGTGAGCTGGTGAGCTGGGTGAGTGTGAGTTGGTGAGCTGGGTGTGAGTTGGTGAGCTGGGTAAGTTGGTGAGCTGGGTGGGTGAGGGTTGGTGAACTGGGTGAGTGTGAGTTGGTGAGCTGGGTAAGTTGGTGAGCTGGGTGGGTGAGGGTTGGTGAGCTGGGTAAGTTGGTGAGCTGGGTGAGTAAGTTGGTGAGCTGGGTGAGTTGGTGAGCTGGGTGAGTAAGTTGGTGAGCAGGGTGAGTGTGAGTTGGTGAGCTGGGTGAGTTGGTGAGCTGGGTGAGTGTGAGTTGGTGAGCTGGGTGAGTGTGAGTTGGTGAGCTGGGTAAGTTGGTGAGCAGGGTGAGTGTGAGTTGGTGAGCTGGGTGAGTGTGAGTTGGTGAGAAGGGTGTGAGTTGGTGAGCTGGGTGAGTGTGAGTTGGTGAGCTGGGTGAGTGTGAGTTGGTGAGCTGGGTGGGTGTGAGTTGGTGAGCTGGGTGAGTGTGAGTTGGTGAGCAGGGTGAGTGTGAGTTGGTGAGCTGGATGAGTGTGAGTTGGTGAGCTGGGTGAGTAAGTTGGTGAGCTGGGTGAGTGTGAGTTGGTGAGCTGGGTGGGTGTGAGTTAGTGAGCTGGGTGAGTGTGAGTTGGTGAGCTGGATGAGTAAGTTGGTGAGCTGGGTGAGTGTGAGTTGGTGAGCTGGGTGGGTGTGAGTTGGTGAGCTGGGTGAGTGTGAGTTGGTGAGCATGATGAGTAAGTTAGTGAGCAGGGTGAGTGTGAGTTGGTGAGCTGGGTGAGTGTGAGTTGGTGAGCAGGGTGAGTGTGAGTTGGTGAGCTGGGTGAGTGTGAGTTGGTGAGCTGGGTGAGTGTGAGTTGGTGAGCTGGGTGGGTGTGAGTTGGTGAGCTGGGTGAGTGTGAGTTGGTGAGCAGGGTGAGTAAGTTGGTGAGCTGGGTGAGTGAGTTGGTGAGCAGCTCATGAGGTCTGCACCACGAAGTAGCCGAGCCCAGCCAGGTGCCCTGTGACTCGTCGCGTTTATTTTAACAAAATTCACTCCACAACCCCCACGGAGTAACAACAACAACAACAGCCTGTCCTGTGGGTGTACTGTGGGTGTGTTTACTGTGTGTGTACTGTGTGTGTACTGTGTGTGTGTACTGTGTGTACTGTGGGTGTGTACTGTGTGTGTGTTTACTGTGTGTGTATTGTGTGTGTACTGTGTGTACTGTGGGTGTGTACTGTGTGTGTGTTTACTGTGTGTGTACTGTGTGTGTACTGTGTGTGTGTACTGTGTGTGTGTACTGTGTGTGTGTACTGTGTGTATATACTGTGTGTGTACTGTGTGTGTGTACTGTGTGTGTGTACTGTGTGTGTACTGTGTGTGTGTTTACTGTGTGTGTACTGTGTGTACTGTGTGTACTGTGTGTGTGTACTGTGTGTGTGTACTGTGTGTATATACTGTGTGTGTACTGTGTGTGTGTACTGTGTGTGTGTACTGTGTGTACTGTGTGTGTGTACTGTGTGTATACTGTGTACTGTGTGTGTGTACTGTGTGTATACTGTGTGTATACTGTGTGTCTGTACTGTGTGTGTACTGCGTATATACTGTGTACTGTGTGTGTACTGCGTATATACTGTGTACTGTGTGTGTACTGTGTGTGTGTACTGTGTGTACTGTGTGTAACGTGTGTGTATTGTGTGTGTACTGTGTGTGTACTGTGTGTACTGTGTGTGTGTACTGTGTGTATACTGTGTGTACTGTGTGTGTGTACTGTGTGTACTGTGTGTGTACTGTGTGTGTACTGTGTACTGTGTGTATATACTGTGTGTGTGTGTACTGTGTGTGTGTGTACTGTGTGTGTGTGTACTGTGTGTGTACTGTGTGTGTACTGTGTACTGTGTGTGTACTGTGTGTGTAAGTGTACTGTGTGTGTAGTGTGTGTGTATGCTGTTTGTGTACTGTGTGTGTACGTGTACTGTGTGTGTACGTGTACTGTGTGTGTACTGTGTGTGTGTACTGTGTACTGTGTGTGTACTGTGTGTGTGTATATACTGTGTGTGTACTGCGTGTGTACTGTGTGTGTACTGTGTGTACGTGTCTGTGTGTACCTGTCTGTGTGTCTGTGTGTGTGTGTGCGTGTCTGTGTGTATGTGCGTGTCTGTGTGTGTGTGTACGTGTCTGTGTGTGTACGTGTCTGTGTGTGTGTACGTGTCTGTGTGTGTACGTGTCTGTGTGTGTGTGTACGTGTCTGTGTGTACGTGTGTCTGTGTGTGTGTGTACGTGTGTGTGTACGTGTGTGTGTACGTGTCTGTGTGTGTACGTGTCTGTGTGTGTGTACGTGTCTGTGTGTGTCTGTGTGTACGTGTGTCTGTGTACGTGTGTCTGTGTGTGTGTCGAGTAACAACAACCCACCACCACCACCACCGCTCTCGTTACCAAAGTAGGGCGGAACCGGAACGGGATCGTGAATGGGAACAGCGTCCACAACGGGATTGGGAACTTGATCCAGAACGGGATCACGGAACGGGATTGGGAACTTGATCCAGAACGGGATCACGGAACAGGATTCAGAACGGGATTTCAGAACGGGATTCAGAACGGGATTCAGAACCGGATTCTGAACGGGATTCTGAACGGGATTCTGAACGGGATCACGGAACAGGATCATGGAACGGGATCACGGAACGGGATTTCAGAACGGGATTTCAGAACGGGATCACGGAACGGGATTTAGAACGGGATTTAGAACGGGATTTCAGAACGGGATCACGGAACGGGATTTAGAACGGGATTTCAGAACGGGATTCAGAACGGGATTCAGAACAGGATCACGGAACGGGATTTCAGAACGGGATTTAGAACGGGATTTAGAACGGGATTTAGAACGGGATTTCGAACGGGATTTCGAACGGGATTTCGAACGGGATTTCGAACGGGATTTCAGAACGGGATTCAGAACGGGATTTAGAACGGGATTTCAGAACAGGCCCTGCTAGCACAGGTGATGCTGGGTGGGATGGGGGAGGGTGGGGGTGGGGTGGGTGGGGGAGGGTGGGGGTGGGGGAGGGTGGGGGTGGGGTGGGTGGGGGTGGGTGGGGGTGGGGTGGGGGTGGGGTGTGGTGGGGTGGGTGGGGGTGGGGTGTGGTGGGGTGGGTGGGGGTGGGGGAGGGTGGGGGTGGGTGGGGTGGGGGTGGGAGTGAGGGTGGGTGGGGGTGGGGTGGGGGTGAGGGTGGGGGTGAGGGTGGGTGGGGGTGGGGTGGGGGTGGGGGTGGGGTGGGGGTGAGTTTTTGTTTCGCTCCAGCCCCCCCCTGTCGCTCCCCCCGTGGTGCTCAGTCGAAGGCAGCTGTGGGGTCACGTGGGGGGGGGGGGGGGGGAGAGAGCAGTGGATCACCTTGCAAAGAGACTCAGCTCACCACTCACTCACCACTCACTCACCACTCAGACACTCACCACTCACTCACTACACACTCACCACTCAGACACTCACCACTCAGACACTCACCACTCACTGTCAGCGGCCACCACCACCACCACCGTCCCTCCACCATCCTCCACTAGAGGCCTCTCTCAATAAACACCTCACTCAGACACTCACTCAGACACTCACTCAGACACTCACTCAGACACTCACTCTCTCATTCAGACACTCACTCAGACACTCTCTCACTCAGACACTCACTCTCTCATTCAGACACTCACTCTCTCACTCAGACACTCACTCACTCAGACACTCACTCAGACATTCACTCACTCAGACACTCACTCACTCAGACACTCACTCTGACACTCTCTCACTCAGACACTCACTCTCTCACTCAGACACTCACTCAGGCACTCACTCAGGCACTCACTCACTCAGGCACTCACTGGCACACACAGAGGGGGTGGGTGGCCAGCACCACCACGCCCGGCCGCCTTTGTCTCCCCCAGTGCTGCGATGTTTACTACACCACCACCGCTACACCACCACCACTACACCACCACTACAACCACCACTACACCACCACCGCTACACCACCACCGCTACACCACTACACCACCACCACTACACCACCACTGCTACAAAACTACTACACCACCACCGCTACCACTACACCACCACTGCTACACCACCACCACTACACCACCACTACCACTACACCACCACTACAACCACCACTACACCACCACCACTACACCACCACCGCTACACCACCACTACACCACCACCACTACACCACCACCGCTACACCACCGCTACCACTACACCACCACTACACCACCACCGCTACACCACCACCACTACACCACCACCGCTACACCACCACCGCTACACCACCACGACACCACCACCACTACACCACCACCACTACACCACCACTGCTACAAAACTACTACACCACCACCGCTACCACTACACCACCACTGCTACACCACCACCACTACACCACCACTACCACTACACCACCACTACAACCACCACTACACCACCACCACTACACCACCACCGCTGCACCACCACTACCACTACACCACCACCACTACACCACCACCACTACACCACCACCGCTACACCACCGCTACCACTACACCACCACTACACCACCACCGCTACACCACCACCACTACACCACCACCACTACACCACCACCGCTACACCACCGCTACCACTACACCACCACTACACCACCACCGCTACACCACCACCATTACACCACCACCACCGCTACACCACCACCGCTACACCACCACCGCTACACCACCACCACTACACCAGGCACTCATTTGAGGCCGAGTCGACCTAGGGGAGGCCCAGGACCGGTTTCAGATAATTCATCGTCACCGGTGGTGGTGGTGGTGGCCGTGAACGGGAATTGAACTCGGATCGCCGGGTTCATAGGGCAAACTTCTGTGCCACCGCTCCCCACACACGTGTACACACACACACACGTGTACACACACACACACACGTGTACACACACACACGTGTACACACACACACGTGTACACACACACACGTGTACACACACACACAGTGTACACACACACACAGTGTACACACACACACACGTGTACACACACACACGCGTGTACACACACACACGTGTACACACACACACGTGTACACACACACACACGTGTACACACACACACGCGTGTACACACACACACGCGTGTACACACACACACGTGTGTTCACGCGCACAGATACCCAATCACACACGCGCACACACACAAGACACGCACACACAGACACGCAGACACACGCACAGACACGCAGACACAGACACGCACACACAGACACGCCGATACACACAGAAACGCACGCAGACACTGCCACACACACAGACACACACACAGACACACACAGACATACACACAGACACACACACTAACATACATACACACAGACACACACTAACATACATACACAGACACACACACACTAACATACACACAGACACACACACAGACATACACACAGACACACACACAGACACACACACACAGACACACACTAACACACACACTAACACACACACTAACATACATACACATAGACACACACACAGACACACACACAGACACACACAGACATACACACAGACACACACACTAACATACATACACACAGACACACACACTAACATACATACACAGACACACACACACACTAACATACACACAGACACACACACAGACATACACACAGACACACACTAACATACACACAGACACACACACACACAGACACACACACACTAACATACATACACACAGACACACACTAACATACATACACACAGACACACACTAACACACACAGACACACACACACACTAACACACACAGACACACACACACAAACACACACACACACAGACACACACACAGACACACACACTAACACAAACACTAACATACATACACACAGACACACACACACTAACATACATACACACACAGACACACACTAACACACACATTACACACACACACTACACACACACTACACAATTACACACACAGACACACACACACACTAACATACATACACACAGACACACACACACTACCATACATACACACAGACAAACACACACTAACATACATACACACAGACACACACACACAGACATACACACACAGACACACACACACACACAGACACACACACAAACACACACACAGACACACACACACACACAGACACACACAGACACACACACAGACACACACACACAGACACACACACAGACACACACACACAGACACACACACAGACACACACACAGACACTCACCCTGGATCTCGACTACCTTGACTATTGGGTCGACATCTGCAGACCCAGCTACAGGCACATGAGACACACAGTCACTTAGTCACCTACACAGTCACTTAGTCACCTACACAGTCACTTAGTCACCTACACAATCACTTAGTCACCTACACAGTCACTTAGTCACCTACACAGTCACTTAGTCACCTACACAGTCACTTACACAGTCACTTAGTCACCTACACAGTCACTTAGTCACCTACACAGTCACTTACACAGTCACTTACAGTCACTGAGTCACACTCAGTCACTTAGTCATTTACACAGTCACTTAGTCACCTACACAGTCACTTACAGTCACTGAGTCACACTCAGTCACTTAGTCACCTACACAGTCACTTACACAGTCACTTACACAGACCCAGCTACAGGCACATGAGACAGTCACTTACACACAGTCACTTAGTCACCTACAGTCACTTACACAGTCAATTAGTCACTTAGTCACACTCAGTCACTTAGTCACTTACACAGTCACTTAGTCGTAACACACAGTCACTTACACACAGTCACTTACACAGTCACTTACACAGTCACTGCGTCAGTAACACAGTCACTTACACAGTCACACAGTCACTTACACACAGTCACTGCGTCAGTAACACAGTCACTTACACACAGTCACTTACACACAGTCACTTACACACAGTCACTTACACACAGTCACTGCGCGTCAGTAACACACAGTCACTCACACACAGTCACTGCGTCAGTAACACAGTCACTTACACACAGTCACGTACACACAGTCACTCACACACAGTCACTTACACACAGTCACTTACACACAGTCACTGCGCGTCAGTAACACAGTCACTCACACACAGTCACGTACACACAGTCACTGCGTCAGTAACACAGTCACTTAGTCACTTACACACAGTCACTTAGTCACTTACCCACAGTCACTGCGTCAGTAACACACAGTCACTTACACAGTCACTCACACACAGTCACTGCGCGTCAAAACACACAGTCACGTACACACAGTCACTTAGTCACTTACACACAGTCACTCACACACAGTCACGTACACACAGTCACGTACACACAGTCACTGCGCGTCAGTAACACACAGTCACTGCATCAGTAACACACAGTCACTTACACACAGTCACTTACACAGTCACTTACACACAGTCACACACAGTCACTTACACAGTCACTTACACACAGTCACTTACACAGTCACTCACACACAGTCACGTACACACAGTCACTTACACAGTCACTCACACACAGTCACTTACACAGTCACTCACACACAGTCACGTAGACACAGTCACTTACACAGTCACTTACACACAGTCACACACAGTCACTTACACAGTCACTTACACACAGTCACTTACACAGTCACTCACACACAGTCACGTACACACAGTCACGTAGACACAGTCACTCACACACAGTCACTTACACAGTCACTCACACACAGTCACTCACACACAGTCACGTACACACAGTCACTGCGCGTCAGTAACACACAGTCACTTACACACAGTCACTTACACACAGTCACTTACACACAGTCACTTACACAGTCACTCACACACAGTCACTCACACACAGTCACTTACACACAGTCACGTAGACACAGTCACTTACACAGTCACTCACACACAGTCACGTACACACATTCACTTACACAGTCACTCACACACAGTCACTTAGACACAGTCACTTACACACAGTCACTTACACACAGCTACTTAAGTGCACACACGTCACGACAGGAGGTACACAGCGAGGGCAATACGCAGGCACCGATGTACGTCGATGACAATGCAAGGGACCCAACCCGGCAGTGGACACCCACGGTTATTGATCTGTTCGACCCCCTCTGTTCAAGACGGAGGTCGTCTCCACAGCGGCTGTGCACCTGATGATGGCGCTTGTGATTACCAGCGAAACGTCGTACTCGGGATCGCAAATGTTGCGGATTTGCTCTCCAACACACAGCAAACTGGTGTGGTGCTGTACTAGTAGACTACACTATACACTACACTATACACTACACTATACACTACACTACTATACACTACACCATACTACACACTACACTACCAAATACACTACACTATACACTAGCCTATTCACTACACTATACACTACCCTATACACTACTATACACTACACTATACACTACTATACACTACCCTATACACTACACACTACACTATACACTACATTATACACTACCCTATACACTATACACTACACTACTATACACTACCCTACTATACACTACACTATACACTACCCTACACACTACACTATACACTACTATACACTACACTATACAGTACTATACACTACACTACTATACACTACCCTACTATACACTACTATACACTACGCTACACACTACACTATACTACACACTACACTACCAAATACACTACACTACTATACACTACACTATACACTACTATACACTACACTATACACTACACTACACACTACACTATACTACACTACTATACACTACACTATACACTACTATACACTACACTATACACTACACACTACACTATACACTACTATACACTACACTATACACTACACTATACACTACACTATACACTACCCTACACACTACACTATACACTACACTACACACTACCCTATACACTACACACTACACTATACTACACACTACACTATACACTACACTACTATACACTACCCTACTATACACTACACTATACACCACTATACACTACCCTACACACTACACTATACCCTATACACTAGTATACACTACACCATACACTACACTATACACTACCCTACACACTACACTATACACTACACTACCCTATACACTACACTACACTCTACACTACCCTATACACTACCCTATACACTACACACTACACTACCCTATACACTACACACTACCCTATACACTACCCTATACACTAGACACTACCCTATACACTAGACACTACCCTATACACTACCCTATACACTACACACTACCCTATACACTACACACTACCCTATACACTACCCTATACACTACCCTATACACTACACTACACACGGGCGCTGTATTAGTGACGAATTGGCACGTTCTGACTTCCCCTAAACTGGCACGATCCAACCCCAATAGAGGCACTTTGTCAGTGACAAGACAAAGATCCCCCGTGTAGCCTCAACAGACTGCTGGGGCAAGTGCTGTTAGCGGGTAGCAGCAGCTCTGCCTGTGAAGGCCACCAGCACTGTGGCACACAGAGGGGGTGGGTGACCAGCACCACGCCCGGCCGCCTTTGTCTCCCTAGTAGGTGATGTTTACTACACCACTACTACACCACTACCACTACACCACCACTACACCACCACTACACCACCACTACACCACCACCACTACACCACTACACCACCACCGCTACACCACCACTACTACACCACCACCACTACACCACCACCACCACTACTACACCACCACCACCACTACACCACCACTACACCACTACTACACCACCACCACTACTACACCACCACCACCACACCACCACCACCACTACACCACCACTACACCACCACCGCTACACCACCACTACTACACCACCACCACCGCTACACCACCACTACTACACCACTACGACACCACCGCTACCACTACACCACCACTACACCACCACCACCACTACACCACCACCGCTACACCACCACTACTACACCACCACTACACCACCGCTACCACACCACCGCTACACCACTACACCACCACCACACCACTACACCACCACCACCACTACACCACCACCACCACTACACCACTACACCACCACCGCTACACCACCACTACTACACCACCACTACACCACCACCACCACTACACCACTACTACACCACCACCACTACTACACCACCACCACTACACCACCACTACACCACCACCGCTACACCACCACTACTACACCACCACCACCACTACACCACCACTACACCACCACCGCTACACCACCACTACTACACCACTACTACACCACCGCTACCACTACACCACCACCACCACTACACCACCACCACCACTACACCACCACCGCTACACCACCACTACTACACCACTACTACACCACCGCTACCACACCACCGCTACACCACTACACCACCACCACACCACTACACCACACCACTACACCACCACCGCTACGCTACACCACTACACCACCACCACTACACCACCACCACTACACCACCGCCACGCTACACCACTACACCACCACCGCTACACCACCATCACTACACCACCACCGCTACACCACCACCACGCTACCGCTACACCAACACTACACCACCACTACACCACCACCGCTACACCACCACCACCACGCTACCGCTACACCAACACTACACCACCACCACCACCACGCTACACCACTACACCACCACCGCGACACCAACACTACACCACCACCACGCTACACCACTACACCACCACCGCTACACCACCGCCATACCACCGCTACACCACCACTACACCACTACACCACCACGCTACACCACTACACCATCACCGCTACACCACCACCACTACACCACCACACCAGGTACTCAGCTGAGGCCGAGCTGACCGAGGGGAGGTCCAGATAATCGTCACCGGTGGTGTTGGTGGCTGTGAGCGGGGGCCGAACTCAAGTCGCTTGGGGCGTAGCGCTAACCGCTGCACCACCACTCCCCACTTACAAAGTCACTAACACAGCCACTAACACAGCCACTAACACAGTCACTAACACAGTCACTAACACAGTCACTAACACAGCCACTAACACAGCCACTAACACAGCCACTAACACAGCCACTAACACAGTCACTAACACAGTCACTAACACAGCCACTAACACAGCCACTAACACAGCCACTAACACAGCCACTAACACAGCCACTAACACAGTCACTAACACAGCCACTAACACAGCCACTAACACAGCCACTAACACAGCCACTAACACAGCCACTAACACAGCCACTAACACAGTCACTAACACAGCCACTAACAC